GCCCACTAAAATCAATAAATAATCTATTTTACTACTCATAAGTAGAAAGTTTGGTCAGTTATTTAGGCCTGGATAGGCGGATTGGCCACGCTACTCGCTGCTCGATGCTGATATCTTCAAAAAGGCAGTAATAAAATTAAAATAATATATAAAGAGAATTCTTTCTAGACCAGGATACTACAAAGTTATGTGTTCATGTGGTGATACTTAAGACCTATCGACTAATCCAGAACAGATAACCTGAACATAAAGCCGCATGTAAAGGTTGATATTTTCAAAAATCTGAATTTGCGCAAGATTAGGGCTCAATATATATATAAAAATAAAAACATACAATATCTTGAATAGGAGGAATAAGTGTAGAAAATTGAGTGTAAAAACGATTCATGTCGATTGGATACGCTTAAGAAGAGAAGTTTAATTGATGTAAGAAAGATTAAGATGGTATGCATCCTCTTTTTGATTTGAATATTCCCGATAATTTCCAGCATCGGACCGTGGACTTGGTACCGCCCCAGGCGATTCGCCTGCGTCATCGTCGGCGTCTTCACTTGTCGACAAGCCATAATATGGATTTGGAATGTACCAGGTTCACGTTGCGAAGCTGGACATTATCATGAAATTCCTCCTGGTGCGTTCATTTTGGTCACCTTGACAACAGCACCAACTTGCTAAACAGAGGGCAAGAGGAGGCGGCTTAAATAACGTCTAATCTGGTTAGAACGTTGCGTGAGGTGTGCAATGCTAGTTTATTTCTGTAGGTAGACTGCTGCAACCGCTTCCAATTTGTTTTCATGCAGGACACAGAGTCAACGACTTCTTGGCACTATTCAACAGTCTTTCTTCGTGTTTCGACGAACCCAATTCACGAATCCGGTCAAAAGGAAACATCGAGCAACACGAACGATGTCTGTCTGTCCATCACAACATTACAGGCGACAACACAGCAGAGAGCACTGAGGATATTTTTGTATAGTTCAACAATCACAACCCAAAAGCGGTTGCTGAAGCTGACCACAAAGGCCAAGTTGTGAGCTCAGAATTGAGGTGGGCCTCAGTGGCAATTAGTTCAACTTATGCATTAGTCTCAAGTCTACACTGTCTTCTTGACGACACAGACAGACTCATCTTCACCAATGTGGCTTAAGGTTATGTATACGTAGTGATAGTGGAATATTCCATCTTAGAGCACCTACGGGGCCTGCATTTTTTTCAAACTGCACCGCTGCCTACTCACTACAAGTATAAGTAGTATGGGTGATTGCAGTGGCAAATACATGTTTGCATGGCCAATAATGCTGCTGTCGAAAAATGCGAGACCAGTTCTACGCGCTTGACCCAGTCATGAATCGCGCTGGGGGTGCAGATGAGTCCCGAAGAGACAACCGTTGGGAAGACGAGGCCAAGGGACAATTACCGTCTTCCGCGCGGCCGACCTGTGGCGTTGTGGGAAAATTCCACCACAATCAGTCTAGGCTGACTAAAGTTCTTATTCAAGATCTGCCGATAATCTGGGAATATAGTCATTACGACGAGAAGATGGCCGATAGGCGAAAAGTGCATCTGCATTTTGGCTGGACCGGCATCAACCGAATGGCTTACGACGACAGAAGCCCAGTTACATGTACTTCTGACGGCAGCCCGGACGTCGGTAACCGGGGTCCGTGACGAATGTGAATTGCCACTCATCCCCCTCGGGCTGACCTCGTGTGCCCTGGTGAAAGTACAAATAGAGGAAGAGGCAACGACCCCCATCGACTGAAGAGGGTGGCTGTAATTGGTCACCTTGCCGACCTCGTTCCGCATGACCAACCTTTGCCTATCGCTCAGACAACCAAACACGGCCAGCCCAGGTCGCTTGAGGTCGGCTATAAAATGTTCGTTCACTTTTCACACATTCACATGAATAGGTGCATTGAGGTGTCGTTCCATTTGCCAAAAGCTTTACTCATCCAGCCTGCACGACTGTCTCAACCTCGGTTCATTTGTCCATCAGCAACGTCAGCCAGTTTCGATGTTGGTTGTAGATAGCGTGGTGACGATACCATTCCTCCACCCAATCACGATGCCAGAGGGTCGCAGGGAGGAGGTGACATTAAAAGCAAATCAGAACTCAACGAAAGCATATTTATGGTCGGAGCAACGAGGACTTCTCCTCCTTTTTTGGGAATAAAAACGTAGGGCAAAGAAAAGTTCGGTTGGGAGGAATTTCTGGATTTAGCATTGACGAGCTCACTTCCGTTTCGAGTGAAAATGTTTGGTTGAAGAAAAGTTGGGTTTCGACAAATCTCTTGTTTCATATTTGTTGAGCTTACTGCCATTTCGAGTGGAAGTGTTGCGTGAAGAGATTCGAAGTTTGGTTGCACCAGAAGACGACGGCCGATTCCTCTTGACCAGCTGTCGATTGGCTTTACCGGAGCATTCATGCAGACGCTGTTTCCAAGGCAATCTCCTTCGATTCCGGTGAAAAGGTGCTAAGCTTTCGTCCGTCATAGGACGGACATCATCAGAGCGAGGTAACATCGTGACAACAAAATTGAAGCTAACGAGTCAAGAAAACCTTGATGGCCAAAAACGGACGTTCCTTTTTGCTGTCCGAATTACTTTGAGCCATCTCTTTGAGTTTTATGCATAAGCAAACACAAACATGCACATACAAATACAGAGACAGATACACTCACATGCATAGAAGTTGACATATGACTTTAACCAAATCACCTTATACTCGATCAAATAGGCCAGATGTAGAGTATATATACCACTTTTTAGGGATTTGCTAGATGTAGAGTATAGATACCGCTTTTTAGGGTTTTGCTGGTGAGTTTTCTTGACTCGTTAGCTTGAATTTGGTTGTGACGATGATACCTTGCTCTGATGATGTTCGTCACATGACGGACGAAAGCTTAGCACCTTTTCACTGGAATCGAAGGAGATTCCAATAAAGCCAATCGACAGTTGGTCAAGAGGAATCGGCCGTCGTCTTCTGGTGGAACCGAGCTTCGAATCTCTTCACACAACACTTCCACTCGAAATGGAAGTAAGCACAACAATTACAATTTTTACAACCATATTCAAGCTAACTCACAGCTCTTCATAACTGCTTTCTATATGCCCTATATCTAAGCTCTTGTTCAGGTGTCGATTGGCTTTGTTGGATGATTTCTAGCGTTTTTAGTAGGTTTTCGAGACTACTAGCAAATTTATGAGTAAGAGATGCATTAATCCCATTACATTCAAAGTAATAAAGCAAAATCTAGTCAAGAAACGAAAAATTATTTCTATGCGTTTCGACGAGAGATAAAACGAATCAAGCTTTGAAGACCAAGAAGATGTGGCTTTTTGTGTGATCAATTTCTCCTTTTGTTGTATAGACGTTGTTTTTGACCTTGTTTTCGCAACTTGGTCATGTTGGTAGGAAGATTTAGAGAAACACACCTAGTCCGGACCCAAGTCGGACCGTCGACGTGGTACATTCCTAGACTTTTCTCTTTGACGAGTTGTTTTGTGGTGCGAAACGTCTGGGAATGTACCACGTCCACGGTCCGACTCTAGAAATGATGAATGATACAATAGACTCCTGACTAGGTATGTATCTCTAAATCTTCCTACCAATATGACCAAGTCGCGAAAACAAAGTTAAACAGCCTCTATACAACGAAAGGAGACTGCGACCACACAAAATGCCACACCATCCTGGTCTTCATACCTTCGATGAGATATTTAGGGTTTAGGA